TGCTCACTGTGAAATATAATTTAAATGACGAAAAATATTTTCAACATGAATTGATGTTACAACGCAAAGCCCTAAATGTAAATTTAAGAAGTACTACATTTCCATAATTATTCACTATGTCATGGTATTTAATGGGATGTTATTGGCTTATGTATTTGATCCATCCACAAAATAACTGTGAAATAGTCATACTTGTACAATACAAAGATAGCATTGTAAACGATAGCATGTTCTTATTGCTGTCTGAAGTGCTACTTGCTCAGTCCTAAATATAGGTTTTTGAAAAGGTTAACGCGAATGACTATGCAACTCGTAACTATGTAATATTCATGGGACTTGTGTAGGAAGGTGAGCAATAGCAGCCTAGTTGTTGCTGGGTGGACTAGAAATACCAGGTGATTATTAATTGATGATCCTATTATGAAACAACCTCTCTGCTTCCAAAGGAGTAACACAAAGACTTTAAAATGACCTTTCTGTTTTGGCAATGGGGCTAACCTTTCATCTCATGACTGCTAAGCATCATGTGTCACCGTATCAGTTTCAGAATGCAGTTAAGCATGGGAAGGAGAAAGGAATGCCAACTCATGTAGTAAGTGACCAAGTAACATTAAAATGTCACTGTGGTTTTTGAGAAATATTTAGGCTATGTGGAACTCACTCTCAAAATTTTAGTTGCCCTAATGTATGATATGAGGAAATGAACAGCTGATTTGCGAAAGAACTGACCCATCGCCAAATATATTGATGCTAGTAAGTATTGTATTCTCAATTCTAAGTTGTGCAGTTTGTTAAGGACCAGCAAGAGCAGAAAAGAGGCACTCATGACATAAGGGGGCCCAAGTTGTATGATGAGATCTTGTATGCAGAGCAACCTGGGAATAACTGAAAAAAAAATGTTTTAATAGTTGAATGTTAAGCAGAAAATGTGTGATAGATCTTATACCATTGCATTAAATAAGATTCCTCAGCATTGTCAGAATGATTCTGAAACTCAATTATTCTTTCCAGTGTCCTGTTGGTAAGACTGTGAAGCAAGTAGAACAGAATGCTGAAGTATAGAAGAGTATAGGAAATATAGGAAGCTGAAATTTATAATTGAGCTGCCCAGCCGCTAGTGTAAAAAGGAAATGAGTGCAAAACAAACCCGAAACATCTCCCACTAAGCCCTAAAGTGGCTCTATTCATGAACATGCCATTTGTATTTGCAAAATAGCCATGTTTGCATGTATTGAATAACGTTAGAATTTGCTATCTGATTCCATAAATACCATCTAATGTTGTGGATGACCTGAACATCTTGATCTTATTGAGATTTACGCATTTCAAAACAACTTGCTGACTAACTATCAAGACTGTTGGACTTCAGATTGATTCTGGGAATAGGTAGATGAGCCAAATATGTCTTACCAGGTTAAACCAATCTTTGAGCTGCTGAGGATACGATGCAAGAGAATGACCTTGTTTGGCTAGCCAGTTGAAGCAGTTTACTGCAATGTGGCCACTATTGTAAACTAACAACTACTTGAAGCCACAGGTGGGTGAGGGTGAGCATCAATACATGAACCATTCCAAAAGGTGCAGTGACTATCTGAGAGGAATGCTAATACACCCCCAATGATAGATTTCATTGTGGACTGAAATGGAAAATGCAATTTAGATACATTACTAGGCGGACCTAGATAATAAACTGCACCATACTCTTTTCCATATTTTGACTGTTTTCTTTATTCTTCTGCAGGATAAGGGCTTCACTGGGAAGGTTAGTATTTGTTACCAATCACTAATTCCCTTGAACTGAGTGATATGCTGTTTCAGAGACCAAAATAGAGTCAACTACGTGCTCTGGGTCATATGTCAGTCAGACCAGGTACAGATGGCTGATTTCCTGCCCTAAAAGACATTCATGAACTTCACGCTATGATATTAGAGTCTAGTGACCTGGGGCCAGGCCCCAAATTTCGTTCTGCTCCAATTTGTTTAACACATGAACAAAACCCAGAAATTGCTGGAGAAACGCAGCAGTTTTGGCAGCATCTGTGGAGAGGAAACAGAGTTAACATTGAAAGACCAGTGACCTTCATCGAACTCCTGCAGACCCTCTGCAGACCTGAAAGGGGTCACTGGACTTGAAACATTAACTCTCTTTTCTCTTCACAGATGCTGCCAGATCTGCTGAGCTTCTCCAGCAGTTTCTATTTTTGTGTGTTTCAGATCTTTAACATTCTCAGTTCTTTGTTTTATTTTACCATTTTGTTTAAACTGGACCAAATTTGAAATCCTATTTACTTAGTAAAAGTAAAAATCCCACGAGATTCCATAGTCTAACACAAACAAAATGTATTTTACAATGCAAAGCGAGCAAGGTAAACAACCAACTACACCTATCCTGTGTTAATTCTGCATGTTAGGTGTGAGATGAAATGAATTAACAGACAAACAGTTGTCAAACACACCATAAATTACGTGGGAACAGGAGAAGGCCTTTCAGCCCATTGATTTTGCCCCACCATTTAAAAACAACTATGGATGATGCCTTTGACTCACACAATCAATGCTTTTGACTCAGACTATTCCCATACTTTTCAGGCCATTGGTAATCAGATGTCTATCAATCTCTAATTTAAACAGATTCAAACACTAAGTTTCCACAAATATCTTAAATTGTGAATTCCAAAGATTTACACTTGCTGTAAAATAATTTTAGCCTTCAGTTATTTATTGACTAGGACACTTAGCTTCCTGTATATCAACATATTCCAACCTCTTGCCATTTAGGAAATACTCTGCATTTCTGTTCCTCCTAACAAAGGGAATACCTTATGTTTTTCTATATTATATTCCATCTGTCATGTTCATACCCATTCTCAAATGCTTCTGAAGTTCCTTTACATCTTCCACATAATACACATTCTTCCTTGGCTTTGTATCATCCACAAATTTGAACATATATCATTTTGTCTCTACATACATTGATATATATATCGTGAACATTTGGGGCCCAACTACTTATTCTCGCAGGGCACCGCTAGTCACAGCATGCCAATGTGAGCATGACCCATTTATACTACTGTTCGTTTTCTGCCTCTTCAATATTCATAATCCATACCAGTTCACTACCTTCAATCCCATGCACTTCAATTTTGCTAACCGACCTCCTGTGGTAGACCTTTTCAAAAGCCTTTGAAAATCCAAAGTGTACAAGGTCTGTTGACTTCCCACAGCAATTTTGTTAGGGATATCTTCAACAAACTGCAACAGGTTCATCAAACATGATTTGCCATTTGTAAATGCATGCTGACTGTGCCAAAACAGATCATTATTATCCAAGTGTCCATTTATCACATCCTTCGTAAAAGATTCTAGTGTTTTCCCTACTTCTGTAAGGTTAACAGATCTGTAGTTCCTTGCTTTCTATCTTGGTCTCTTCTTAGCAGTAGTGAGACACATGCTAGGTTCCAATTTGCAGGAATCATTGCAGAATCAATGGAAGATCATCACCAAGTGGTGCAGAGCCAAACTCTATAGCCACCTCCTTCAACACTCTTGGATATACAATAACAGGTGCTGGTGACTTATCAGCTTTCAGCTGCATTAATTTATCTCGTACAACTTTCTTCGTAAAACTAATTTACTACAATCTTCATTCTCCCTAGTCACTTGGATCTCAAACTCTGGGAGATTTCTGGGATCTTCCTCCTTGGTGAAAATTGACACAAAGTAATCGTTTAGCTTATGTCCAATTTCTCTCTTCCCAATTATAAATTCTCCTGACTCTGCCTGTATTCGACCGACTTTCATTTTATCCAGATGTTTTTATGTAGCTATTGAAGTTTTTACTGTCTGTTTCTGTTTTTTGCTAAATTGCATTCATATTCTATTCTTGCTTTCTTACTAGTGTCTTGGTCCTACTTTTTATTCTGAAGTACCTACAAATCCTCAGATTTACTACTATTCCTGGCAACTTTAAGTCTTTCAAGATGCACTGTGGCAACTTTTCAAGCCTCCTTCATTAGCAGTTTCCAATCCCACGACTTCAAGCAGTGAGGACAAGGGCGACACACATATGGGAACACCACCAGCAAAGCCTCCTCCATGTTATCTGCCTTGGAATTAGATTTCTGTTCCTTCACTCTTTCTGGCCCAAATGTCTTGTAAGATACTCTGAAACAGCATTGTGTCTGTACCTATTCCACATGGCCTGCAGCTCGTCACTATCTTCAAAGAGCAATTGGGGATGGGCAAAAAAATACTAACTTTATAAGTGAAGCTCTCATTCCAAAACTGGATGAAATAAATTCATTTGGACAGGTATTTAAAATATCTTCACAGAAGGTGGTATCTTGTCACCAAGTTACTGATCCAGTTTCCTCAGAGCCAGCTCTCAGACTGAATGGGAAGTCTGACACTCCTGTTCTTAACTGTCAGCCAGGGCTCCCTGATTGGATAAGATTAACAGCCCCAATCAGGGAACTCATATTTTATGAGGTCCACCTGGCAGTCCTCTTTATAGTCATCACAGTATTTGACTAATTGGGTTGGAACAGGGTTCAGGGAGCATTTGCTATTGCTGATGGAGTAACTGATGAAAGCTGTGGGGTGACAGGAACAAAACTGGAAAACACTGTTGTGAAATTTAGAGAGAGGGTTTAATAGTACGTTCAAGGTGAAGATTCAGAGGTAGCTGAGTGAGTGCTTCAACTTTGGAGACAGAAGAGCCTCAAGCTCCTCGTATTGGGGGTTAGAGATGGAAGTGAGGGGCCAGCAAATGGCACTTAGACAGGGCATGAGTCATGAAAGGAAGGAGTTTGGTATTTTGGCTGCTGGAATTATGTATTTGTTTTAGTATCTCATTTATAAGAAAAGCTTTTTTGCCGAGGTAATTCTAAGTTGCTTAGGGAAACTTTCCATGAGCTTTTTGGGTTTGTATATTTTTACTTGTAATCTTTATAATGATCATATTTTAAACTGGTGTTGTTTTTCTGTTTTTCTTTACAGGAATGCCTGCTGTTTTCTCAGTAGCTGAACTTGTTTTGGGTCTTTGTGTCACGGTCACTTTTGGAAATACAGAAGTTAAGTTTTCAGGTCAAACAAATTTTGTGCTGAATGAAACGAGCACTTCAGTTATACGCCTGGTCATTGAAAGGACAGGATCACCAGCCAATGTCACCGCGCTCTTACTGGTAAGACACTGAAATCATGTTATAGAGTTATAGAGCATAGAAATAGGCCCTTTGGCCCATCATGTCTATGCCGACCAATAAACATCAAACTACACTAATCCCATTTACCTGCACTTGGTCTATAGCCTGCAATGCTTTGCCATTTTAAGTGCTCATGCAGATGCTTCTTAAATGCTTCTTGCGAGAGTACCTACCTTCACCACCCTAAGGGGCAGAGTGTTTCATATTTCTACCACCCTTTGCCTGAAAACATTTTTCCTCAGATCTCCTCTAAACCACTTACTCCTCACCCTAAACTTGTGCCCTTTGGTCTTAGACACATCTGCAATGGGGAATCCACCTGTTGACTTGCTCTAACTTGTCATCCTTTTGGTCAGTGTTTAGTGCTATACATCACACATAATTAGTTGAAGGGATAATCTGTTCTATTTGATGTTTGAAGAATTGAGGCAAAAGATGAAGTTTATCCTAATGCTCAGTACTGTAAAGGGTGTTTTTTTTTTAGAAAGTAATTATACATGTGATTTTGGCAGTAGAGTTAAATTTATCAGTTTCTATAAACTGCATTCTCCAGGGAAACTGGAGGAGCAAGAGACATTTTTTTTGTGTCCATGGGATGTGAACTTTACCGTCTAGGCCAGCATTTATTGTCTATCCCTACGTCCTCAAGAAGGTGGAGGTGAGCTGCCTTCTTGAACTGCAGTCCTGGGGATGTTGTTGCAACCACAGTTGTTGTTGCGGAGAGAGTTCCAGAATTTTGATCCAGTGACACTGAAGGATTGGAGATTTAGTTCCAAGTCTGCACGATGTGTAGCTTGGAGGGGAGTTTGCAGGTGGTTGTGTTCTCTTGCATCTGTTGTCCTTGTCCTTCTAAATGATGGAGACTTCAAGTTTGGAAGGTACTTTTGGAGGACTCTTGGTGAGTTACTGCTGTGAATCTTATAGATGGTATATACAATTGGCACTGTGCATGATTTTGAAGAGAGTGGTGAAGGTTCTTGAGTGCTTTGGAGTTAACGCCCATCAGGACAGGTAGAGAGTATTCCATCACATTCCTGACTTACAGATAGTGGACAGGTATTGCAGGACAGAAGTGAGTTAGTCATGACAGAATTCCTAGCCATTGATCTGCCATTGTAAGCTAATTATTTATATCTAAGGTTTTTGAGTAGATTTGTAGCTCGGGTTGTGGATGTTGTGGTTGGTTGTCTCGCCGAGCTGGCTCGTTGTGCTGCAGACATTTCATTACCCTACTGGGTAACATCATCAGTGCAGCCTCTGATAAAGCGCCATTGTGTTTTCCCGCCTGGGTATTTAAAGTCTGGAGACTGTTGTGCTGGATTACCTCACTTCCGGTTTTCCTTCACAATGGAGTGTATATGGGGTCAAGTTCTGTGTGTTTGTTGATGGCTTTCTTTGTGGAGTACCAGGCTTCTAGGAACTCCCATGCTTGTCTCTAATTATTTACACGTCTTTTCCATTTCAGCTTCTGGTCAAATGTAACTCTGAGGAAGTTGATATTTTACATTCAAAGGAAATAGCTGAAACATTTCTCTTGCGTTGTAATTGTCTTTCCTCCATGTGGTTTGCATATTTAAAAGTAAAAGAATGTGTTACCTTCAGCGAAGTGATTGAAAATTGTAACTCCTTTTGGAGAGATGGTGCATTCTGAGTCTTACTCACAGATGCAAAGACACAGAGGTAATCAGGCTGTAGCACATGGCTCGCAATTTTCACTTAATGGTGAAGCAAGGGATTATGTTGGTTTCAAAGGTATCTATTTACAGAGGCATAACAATATTTGGGGGTCAAACCTCCCCTTTCCCAACAACAGTTTAATCTTAGCATCGAGTGAAGGAAATGTTTTGGTGTACAGAAGCAATGATCTCAGTCATCAGATGAGTTTCCAATTACTTTGAAGTATTCGCACACAACAAACCAGAAAGTTACAAAAGTGAAAGACTGTAGACCCCAGAAACAAAAACAGAAAGTACTAGAATTATCTCTGGAGTGATTGAACAAAGTTAATGTTCCAGGTCTGCAAACTTCCATCAAAACAAAAGTTAAAAGTAATTAAAATATCACTGTTTAAATTTAAACTTTGAGATGCCATCATAAATCACAGAATTACGGAACTGTTATGGCACAGAAGGAAGTCATTCAGCCCAGCATCCATGCACTGTTTCTATCCGTAATGTTAATTGTCTGCCTTTTCCCCATATCCCTGCACACTATTTCTATCCAAATAAGCATTCAGTACCCTCTTGAATGTTTCAATTGAATCTGGCTCCAATCGCTTCCAGGCAGTATATCACATACCCTAACTGCTCGCTGTGTGAAAAATGTTTTTACTTCTTTTGCATATCACTTTAACTCCATGAGCTCTTGTTTTTGTTTTCTTTTATGAGCACGAACAGCTTCACTCGATCAACTCTACCCAGCCATTCATGATTTTGAAAACCTGTATCAAATCTCCTCTTAGCCTTCTGCTTTTCAAGGAGGGCAGTCCAAATTTCTTTAATGTAACCTCATCAGTGAAATTTCTCATTCCTGGAACCATTCTAGTAAATCACCTCTGTACTTTCTCCATCTTTCGTGTAATGTGGTGCCCACACTATACACAATACTTCAGCAGAAATCCAACAAGTGTCTTCTACAAGTTCAAAATCACTTCCTTGCTCTTGTACTGTATGCTCATAGTAATAAAGCTGTGTGCATATTAACTACACTCTTGCCATCCTCAGTGATATGTGCACACATTCACCAAAGTTCTTCTGCCCCTGCACCCCTTTTAGAATTGTACCCCCTCTTCAATATTACCTTTCAGTGTCCTTCCAACCAAATTAGATCACTCGCATTTCTCTGAATTGAACATCATCTGCCACCTATCTGACCTCTTCACCAACTTGTCAATGTCCTTTTCGAGCTCCACACTGTTTTCCTCACAGTTTACAGTTCTTCCAAATTTTATGTCATCTGCAAACTTTGAAATTGTCCCCTGCACACCAAGATCCAGATCATTAATCTGTATCAGGAAAAGCAAATGTCCCAAAGCAGACCCTGGGAGGTCCACTACAAACCTTCTGCCAGCCTGACAAACATCTTTTGACTATTACTGTCTGTTTCCAATCATTCAGCCAGTTTTAGATCAACATTGCTACGTCCCTTTTATATCACGACCTATAGCGTTCCTCTCAAGTGTTGAGTAAATGATTTGTGATTGGTTGAGATTAATGCTAAATTAAAGGTTAAAAAAATTTCAAATGTACTTTTTTATCATTTAAAATAAGTGGATTTTTTAATCAGAGAAATGTAATATTCCCCAAATAGACAATGAGCTTTTTCAGGTCCAGTGAAGGGTGTAGTAGTACATGTGAAATTAGTATGCACTTATAACCCAAACATTTCACTTTTAACAGAATGTACCATTTTCTAATGATTTTTTGCAGTGACACTAAAAAGTCATGAGGGGAAGTGCTCATCAATTACATTGATTTTTATAATTATAGTCTTGAGCATTTGGGGTGGGTATTGGTGATTCAGTGGTGAAGCATAGAATTATTCTGTACATGTGCAGATTCCAAATGTTGCTGTCAGCAATTCTACATATTTTCAAAGTAAGCACTGTCTATTTGTGGATTAATAATGATAAATAAATTATGAAAGCTTACTCCTGGCCACCTCCTTGTGGGCTCAGGAATTGAAGCACCCCTTAACAGCTGATGTTGTCCCCAGTAGGGATGGAAACCTCAACAGCAGGTTCGAATGTAAAATGCAGTTGAGTTTCTGAGAAATGGCTGAGGCAAAGTTGCCCAATTTTTGGCCAGTAGTCAGGCACTACCTTCCTGGTCATTGTTATTTAGAACATAAGAACATCAGACCTAGGAGCAGGAGTGGGCCATCTGGCCCCTCGAGTCTGCCCTGCCATTTAATAAGATAATGGCTGATCTTTTTGAGACTCAGCTTCACTTACCCGCTCACTCACCATAACCCTTAATTCCTTTACTGTTCAAAAATTTATCGAGCCTTGCCTTAAAAACATTCAGCGAGGTAGCTTCAACCGCTTCACTGGGCAGGGAATTCCACAGATTCACAACCCTTTGGGTGAAGAAGTTCCTCCTGACCTCAGTCCTACATCTGCTTCCCTTTATTTTGAGGCAATCCTCTCTAGTCCTAGTTTCACCTGCTAGCGGAAACAACCTCCCTGCCTCCACCTTATCTATTCCCTTCATAATCTTGTTTGTTTCTATAAGATCTCCCCTCATTCTTCTGAATTGCAGTGAGTATAATCCCAGTCTACTCAGTCTCTCCTCATAATCCAACCCTCTCAACTCTGGAATCAACCGAGTGATTCTCCTCTGCACCCCCTCCAGTGCTAGTATATCTTTTCTCAAGTAAGGAGACCAAAACTGCACACAGTACTCCAGGTGTGGCCACCCCAGGACCCTATACAGCTGCAGCATAGCCTCCCTGTTTTTAAACTCCATCCCTCGAGCAATGGCAGACAAAATTCCATTTGCCTTTTTAATTACCTGCTGCACCTGCAATCCTACTTTTAGCGATTCATGCACAAGGACACCCAAGTCCCTCTGCACAGCAGCGTGCTGCAGTTTTTTACCATTTAAAACATAGTCCAATTTGCTGTTATTCCTACCAAAATGGATGACCTCACACTTATCAACATTGTAGTCCATCTGCCAGACCTTTGCCCACTCACTTAGACTATCTATATCCCTCTGCAGACTTTCAGTGTCTTCTGCACACTTTGCTCTACCACTCACCTTAGTGTCATCTGCAAATTTTGACACACCACACTTAGTCCCCAACTCCAAATCATCTATGTAAATTGTAAACAGTTGCGGTCCCAACACTGATCTCTGAGGCACACCACTAGCCTCTGACCGCCAATCAGAAAAACACCCATTTACCCCTATTCTTTGCTTTCTACTGGTCAACCAATCCTCTATCATGCCAATACATTACCTGTGATACCGTGCAAC